CGCTCACCCCCACCCCCACCCCCACCCACCCCCCTCAGGCAAAACGCCCCCCATCGGAACGCACGCACCGGAAGAGCGGCACACGGACAGTGGGCTTGCCGTATGGCGGAGGTAGCGCTGGTGGCTGCTGGAGAAGGGGCTGATCAGCAGCTGTTGCAACGGCAAGAGGTGGTAGTTGTACGGTTGCCGCTGACGGTTGTGGTGGTTACTAGGCCGTTGCTGACTGCCTTCCCTGCGGGGTAAGGGGTTGCATGAAGAAGAAGGTCTGTCTGGTCTAAGGGGTGTCGGATCAAGAGGGGCCAGGACGGGGGACAGGTTGGGGGAGGGGACTGCTAAGGACGTACATACATACCTACATACCTACATATCCACAAGGCAATGGGCCCGGCATGGCGGCCAGTCCCCCTCTCGCGGGGTATTCGCCCCCCTTCCCATTCCGCCCCGTGACGAAACCCCCCAAGGGCCCCGAGGGCTTCGAATGGTAGAATGGCAAGAAGTCCGGAAGGGCCCCCTCCGGGGCTCCTCTGACGGGGTGCATGGTGGGGTGGGTGAGTGGACGGGCGGGTGAGTTGCTCTCCGCGCTTCAAGAGATCCAGAAGGTAGAAGGCTGAAGTGCTTACGTTGCGTCCCTATCTGCCCCATGTGTGATGCGATGTGATGCATTATGGGTGAAAGCTCATTTTCCCTTAACCCAGCAGAGAGAGGGGGTAGCTGTGTGTGTGCGTGTGTGTGCGTCCGCTCCGTTCCCCGCCCCCCACATCTCGTCGTCGCTTTCACGGCACTCACTGCGGGAGGGCTGTGCCGTACCAGTACAGCACAAGGCCCAGCAAAAGTGCAAGGCTCACCAGAAGCCCCCAGCCAGCGTTACGCGGAGCGGGGGCGGGGACGCGGACATGCGAAGAGGGAGAGCTGGGGGTGCGATCATGTGGAGGTTGGTTCGATCTTCGGCCCGCGGAGGTGCGAGACAAAGCGCGAAGCATAGTTCTTCGTAGCGAGCCGCACAGGTGCCTCTTTTCGGTATGCTTCCCAAGGAATTTCTATTCGGGGCACAGAAGCTGTGGAAAACCTATGGTGAGTCAAGGGACAAATCCTATGCGTCCATCGATAATGTATTAAAACTGCATTCCGTTGACGCAGCTCTTTGGGGCTTACCCAAAGTGGCTTCGAACAAGCAGCATCCAGACACTGCTATCGCTATCCAGCACGTCACAAGCTGTTGTGGGTACTTCAGGATAAAGTTCACCGCATATTGGAGCATCATTTGCATTCTTGACGAACCTTTGCTCTCACGGTAAGAGGTACAGAAGAGTACAACAGTGTCCAACTCAAATGGAAGCTGTGCAACCTAGTTTTCCCATTTTTAATATGCATTTTACTCAACTTGGATTGCCATGAAGAGTTATGCGTTCTGAATGCGCCATTTTGCGTCCTTTTAGCTCTTGCATCACAATCCTCCTAGACTGCCTTGATGTCCAGGCACTACGAGTGACTAGATTTAATTCCTGACAAGAACCAAAACCTGCTTAAGGTCGGTGAGCGCGGACAGTACTGACCCTTGGACCACCCTGTCCTCCACCGCTGACTTTACTAGGCAGAAATATTCCATGAAGTAAGAGGTTGTGATGAACTGTAACTCCTAAGATAGATGGGCGGCATTCTCTGTTGTGTTGTTGGGTACCGCATTGCTCCCTACAATGTTGCGCCATCGCATTCTTCATCGGCCTATAAACTTCGCGTATTATATAACGTGTTATATATAAGGATCGGCGATAGTTAAGAGTGATTTATTCGTCCAGCATCAGACGAACTTGTTGTCTCCCGCTCAGACACGCCATACAGACTGAGAGTTGGCTCCGTTCAGACCGATATCGATATCGCCTACATTTATTAAAATAAATAACAGTTGCACAGCCTGCTCTTATTGAGACTTCAGGCGATACGTCCTAGTCGTGACACGATGGCCACACATCTGAGGAGGCCTGTCGCTATGGGTTCATGCGCAAAGTTTTCATTGGTAATCTTAAGGCGGTGCCCAGCGCTTCATGCGAGGCGAGGCGCTGCACTGGTTCCACAAGCAAGCGCGGAACCCCAGAAGCGGTCTGAGCCGAGTTCCTCAAGCGGTCTGCAGCCATCATCACCGTCTCAGACAAATTGCCCCCTTGACACGAACTACTGGCACTACAGTCGCTCTTGGCCGTGGTGGCAACAGAGGGCATTCGTGGTGCCTGCCGGCCTTGCTTTTGTGCTGCTGGCGAACCTTTTGGAGAGCCCAGGCCTCAAGACGACACTAATTGCCAGTATTCCGGTTGCGCTACTATGGTACGTCAGCTTGGTGCTGGTACCTAAGAACTTTGCCACGTATTGCAACCAGTGGGCTAAGACGCACCCGGACGAGGTGAAGCGCTTAAATTGAGCTTACTTCATTGATGCAATGAGACTGTGTTGCGTAGCAAGCTGCGAGCAGGACGTGTACTTTGTATTTGTAGGCTCTTTGAGGGGTAGGTTAGGGCAAGCATGCGCTGAAGCGGCATTGTTTCAGTGCAACTTTTTCCCAAGATTAGGACTGGTAGTTGAGGAGAAGAGTGCTGCTGCGTGCAACGGGACGTTGTGGTTTCGTTGGTGGACATATAGGCTCCTGTTTTGCTGGGCGTTTGACAGGATTTTCTCAGCATCACATTCTTTCTACGTTGCGCTGTTATTGGGTGCTGTCTGTTTTGGATCTGTGCACGTTTTTGCATTTGGTATGTGCGTCTACGGGTGGAGTGCCGTTCATTTTATTGTCGGGATTGCTACCCGACGCGGTTTCCAGGATGAGGTTCCAAAGAAAAACACCAGATAACTGCTTCTTTGCCATAATTGCAATGAATGCATCTCCATTGTAAAGTTGTTCTTGTGAATTCTCCTTGACCAGCAGCTCGCTCCATATTTGCAACTGCGCTCAGACCTGAGTTTCTTCTTCTCGACCATGTCACAGATCAGATAGGACCGACCATGCATCTACTGAAACAGCGTAGGCATCGGTGACACATTCTGCTCACACGAGCACTCCATCACGCCCGCGAGCACGCTTTTCCGCGCCCATGTGGTTTGCCATCCTCATCACTGTGCTGGCAGCTGCGGGAAACAACATCGGAAAGGTCCTACAAAAGCAGGCAACACGGACGCTGCCGCGGCTGGTGCTCAATCGCACCACGCTTCTGCTGTACCTCCGCTCCGGGCTATGGCTTACCGGCATGCTCACTGACCTGGGCGGAGCCCTCCTCATGATCGTCGCCTTCGCTAACGCGCCGGTGAGCTCCCCTCCCCCTTCCTGCACCTCTACCTTCCAGACCCGAACCCGGCCCTGAACTCTGGCGGTTGGTGCTTTGGATTTTGTATCCCCTAATGATCCCCTTCCTAATCTGAGAGCTTCCCTATCCAGACCTCTGATGGTGCTAGGACAGACGGGGTTGGGGTGGGGAGCTCCCCGTTCCAGGGGTAGGGCAGGGTAGGGTAGGGTCCCGGCCCTTGTCTTCATCCCCCTCTCCCCGCAACCTGTGGAGCCTACTTACCTGAGGAGCCCTACGGATACCGGAGTCCAGAGGAGGTTGGGCGTGTTGGTTCAGGGGCCATGGGGCTCGGCCCCCTTGGTATGCCGCCCGCTGCACCTCTGTGGGAATGGAGCCGCCGGGGGGAGGGGTGCTGTGTGCATCCTAGGCCATCCGGGCTTTCTGCTTCGCTAGGACTTCCAGCCAGACGAACAGACGCAAGCAGACGGATACACACAGACAGACAGACAGACAGGCAAACAGAGGAAAGGACAGAGCGACGCGGCAGGTGGCGCAACAGGGAGTTGTGCAGGGGAGAAAGCAGCAGGAGGAGAGGGGATGGAAAACAGCTAACGAGCCGCGGGGTCCGTGTCAAGTGTGCAGCAGAAGGGGAAGAGGAAAAAGAGGGAAACCATGGAACCCTAAGATCCAGCGGATCCGGATTTCATAAGACTAGAGCCCCCAACCCAAGCCGTACATGGTGCCCTCAGTTGCCCAAGGGGCCTTCACGGGGACCGGGGGGGAAGAGGGGGGAAACCGAACCACGTGAACGAGTGAAAGCTGATGCCAAGGAGGATATAGACTGATACGCCACAAGTACCTAAGAAGTAACTAACCAGTCGCGACTTGTGAAGATGAAGTCTTCGCGGTGATGTAGTCATCGGAAGAACTACCTACCTAGCCGCGAAGACTAAAATATAATGCGGAAAGAAAGCAGAAAAAACGAATCCGTAATATTCTAGGAGCAAGCGTAAAGGCGGCGAAGAGCAAAGTAAGGTACCGTAAGGGGGAGAGGGGAAAGGTTGGGAGCCTGTGTTATGAGGCTAGAAAGGAGGGGAGAGGTAGTGAAAAGGGAGGGGGGGAATGAGAAACCTGGTGTATGAAAGGAGAGGGAAGGTGTTGGAAGTGGTTAGGAGTAGGGTGGGGGAGCGGCGGGGCAGAGGCGAGGGGCTAAGCGTTACAACGGCACGGGCATAACATGATCGTGAGACAGTACGGCGCACGGTATTCAGCTCCGGAACCGCACGTCTCGACAGAGGACACCGTGTCTCTCCTGTTCCTTTGTCCCCCCCAACAGCAACCGGCTACCCGTGTCTAGAAAGTAGGCGCACACTCGTACCAATACACCCACCCGTTCACCCAGCCCGCATAGCATGCCCTTGCCTCCTCGACCCTTCCCTCCCTTCCCTCCCTCCCTCGCCTTTCGGTCAGTCCTACGTCTGGTACATTCTTGCCCTCCCAGCAGCTCACTCGTTTGTGGTTCGTCTTTCCCTCCCTCCCCCCCCCCCGCCCTCTCCCGGTCGTCAGGTGTCCGTGGTTCAGCCCGTGTCCGGGGTGGGTCTCGTCATACTGCTCATCTTCTCCCACTTCTACCTCAAGGTGAGGAGTAGCGGGACCGGGGGAGGCGGAAAAGGGGGGAATCGCATGCAAGGAAACAAAGGGGGGAGAAGAGTGTAAAGGGAGAACGGGGGGAGGAGGGTAGAGGCCTTGNCTTGGTATGGG